CCTAATGTCACTTCCCTTTCATTCAGGCATGGATTTCTTTTATCAGCTCAATTAGCTGCTATTCCCTTTTACAGAGCGAGATCTCAGCTGGGTTTTCTGCAGTAGAACTTGCTCTGCTCGATCCCTGTGTGCCAGCACAATCTTGGTTTTTAGGTGCCCCTGGTTTTCAACTGATTGCTGCAAAGACCAGAGGTAAATCCATCAAATTACTGGGTTTTTCCAGAGCAGTAAAATCTCACTCTGGCTCTGGATGCTACCAAAGCAGATGAGCTTTAGTGACTTCTTGTGCCTCGGTGTTTGGACAATAAAGACAATGTTTGCGTGCCTTGAGAGCTGCGGGGGAATGACGGCGTTCCCGTGAGGATCGGCCTTGTTGTGTGAGGCTTCCCTGGAAATGTGGGACCGTTTCGAGWGGAGACTCCGGGGAGAAGTCTGCCAGCAGCCTTTTCATCTTCCCTGCACCCTGCCTCATGAATAAACATAGGCACAGCGGGAGCAGATGAAAAGCAGCCAGSACCGTGGTGCTGCAGAGCTGCGGATCTTCCCGTGCCTATAAAGGGCTCCTCTCGTTCGGGGCTGCCCTGGGTGTTAGCAGAGGTGTTTCGGTGTCTCTCTGAAGGGAGGCAGAGCAGCCCACGGCGCCCACGTGCTCCAGCAGCTCCCACTGATTTTAGGTCACATTAACAGCAAATCTGGGGATTTGCTCTGCTCCCTCTGCTCCCGCGGCTCCAGGCAGCAGCCGCGTCTGATCTGCCTTCAAGGGAGGCTGGAATCTGTTTGAATCCCACTGTTATCCACAATTCGAACGCGTACTCCACCTCCCAAAATYGTGTGAACCGGCACAGGGCTATCATGTGCAATATTCTTAAAAATCTTGGCAGGTTAACTTTGAAGAAAAGCTCTGGTTAGGCTGTAGTCCCTGCTAGCAATTACCAGGCTTTTATCTGTAGCTGTCAGTGCACTGTAAAAWGTGGCTGTTACTCCCATTTTATAGAAGAAACAGATGTTCTAGGGTACATCTGAAGAGATTTAATGCAGAAGTTGCATGCCTAAAAGGTGTTCTAGAAAATCCCATCATTATCACATGACTGATTTTATTCAGTGCACACAGGAATTCAGATCTGCTGGCTGTGCTTTGCTTCTCTTCTTGTTTGTTTTAAAGCACTAGTTCTGAAGTTTTCATTTTGCTCCCCTCCTGAGGCAGAGGAGGAGCTGGAATGAGACGATAGTTGGTTTGGTTTTTTTTTTGAGGCAAACTTTCAGGTACAGATTTATTCAAAACTTGTTGAGGTTTAATTTAGTTTTGTGATCAAGCGGCACAGAAGTCACATTTGTGAAATCCAATTAGGCTGCAGCCCTGGCAGAGACACATGACATGAGGCACGTACATCCATCCGAGTCCCTGTGCCTCCCTGCTTTTAAAGCCCTCAGCCTCCACGGCAGAGCTGTGCTTCTTATCTCAGGTATTTGGGATTACTGCAAACTCAATTTACCCACTCGGGAGCTGTCAGAGCCGCATCCTTCCCTTGGAAACGTGGTGGTGACAGGGGAAAGCAGCTGAGCGCTGCTCCGCTCCAGGGGAGGGATCACGGACAGAGCTGCAAGTAGATGGATCCAACAGCAATTTCGGGATGCAGTGGGCACAGAATCAAATCACAGCCTGCTCTGCAGCTCTCTGCTCCTCCACCTCCCCCTGCAGCTGGAGTTTGTTGGTGCCTTTACAGGGCACCCTGGTTTTGGATTGAGGGCTCCCCACTACAGTGAGCTAAAAGCTGTCCRAGCAAGGAAGATCCCAAAACACTCCTGAGGATCCAGCTCTGAGCTCAGGGATGGGGTGATGCTCCTGGCAGGGTTCTCCTGTCCTCACTCCCACCCCAGAGCTCAGGGCTTGCCTTTYCCTTCTGGCTATAGCAAAAAAAGGAACTCAGTCCTTCTCCTTACCTGGAGAGCTGCAATTTCCCTCAGCCACATCAGAAACKGAATTATTTATTCCCCCTGTTCTCCAGGCGAGTGTCCCTGGCTCAGAACAACCCCCTTGGAGCACCCTCTGGTGCTGTACAGAACTTCAGTCATGATGGCTATTGAGTTTTCTCATAAATRGGAACCTGCATTTTTATGAATGTGGTGAAGTTACCACGGCCTTTTCCTCCGGTTCCCTGTAAATGGGTTAAATTTGTGTGTCCAAAATATCARGGCAAGCAACAATAACAAACCTGGTCTGACACAGACTTCAGGGGTTTGTACCAAACAACCTCAGAGCACAGCAGTAAAACACCTCTGTGTTATCCTCAGCCAGCCACAGGACTCTCCTGTTTGTGAACAYTTACTATTGATTTGGGATTTGGCTTTTGTGTCATTCACTGTGGGACTCCAAGTGGTTATTGGGGACAGCAGAGTCTGCAGGACTGTGCTGCTTCAGCATCTGCAGCCAGAATGGGTTAAACACATCCACGGAGAGTTCATGCTCAGGGGCTGGGCTGCAATCCCAAAGGTGAGCAGAGAAAGGAGCAAGAGGAMATTCATTTGCATTTACAATTTTCAGTTAATACCAAAATGATTCCTTTTGGTTGCATCTTTCAATTAACCAAGTAACCAGACAGCCATCCTTCAACAGTTAGCTCCATTTCCTGATCCTCTGTGTCTTTATTATTYTCAACACTTGTGCATTTAATCTGAAGCAGTAATGTGGTCTGAGAGTGCCAGGCAGGTCCTTTCTGGGCCTCTCTGCTCCTGCCCTGCCCTCAGCAGTGAGCAGTTGTCTTTGGCTTGGAACATGTAACCCCCACAGTGACTAATTACAGTCCCTAACGAGGGGTCCCCAGTGGCTCAGGCTGGAGATTAAAATGTGCAGCTCAGCCAGGCCTGAGCTCTCCCCCGTCCCTGGAGAGCCCCGTGCTCCTGCTGCTCTCAGGAAATGCAGGGATGCAYCACCAGCCTTTGGAGTGAAAATGGAAACATCAGCAGGAACCCCAGTGCTTTGCTTTCCTAGGATCCTTTGTCTTTGCCATTTAAGTGCTGTTATTGTTGTATTTCTATTTCAGGCCACAAACAATTSTATTTCTTTTTCCATTTCAATCACATTTTAATGAGTTCTCTTCACGTAGGAGAGCAAGGATAGTTCTTGATGATAATAATAATTGGACCATGGGGAAATACTGCCAGTGAGTAGCTGACAGGCAGGGTACTTAAGAGAAGATTAAGACATTTCTTATCAGTGTGTGGCTTTTGGGGCTCAGGGTGAAATAGTGACTAATTAGTGAAAYAGTGGCAGAAGCAAAACTAGTGATTTTTCCTGGTTTGCTTTTAGCCAAGCAGCCTAAAAATGAAACCAAATTTCCCCAAAGTGACTGTCTGGAGAATCTGGATTTTCCATGGCCAAGACAAGGGATCATTTCAGCAACCTCAGTGAATAATAAGRATCGTGCAGCTGCAGTTCAATGTCTCCATTTATCAATATCCTTCTTAAGGTGAAGGCAGAGCACAGCTTAAGTGTGCTTTGGGAAAGTGCTGGACTGAATTCTCTGGAGTTGGAGCGCTGCTGCAAACACCAAACACATCAGTGTGTGCTGAGAATTCCTGAGCTGCAGGAGACAATTCACTAAATATCCTTAGACAGCAGCAAACCCCACCCACATTTAACCTCAGCTAATCCTGGAAGCTGTAAATGGAGATCCTGATCATGTTCATCAGATCACACAGGACCTTGTGGCTTCAGGGGTGGAATCTGCAGAGGACAAACCAACCTCTCAAACACACCTGGGAGATTTTCTTATCTACTCTCTTTAAATAATAGTTTTAATTAGTGTGGGTTTGACTGATACTGTCACAGGGACAGRATCAGCATTGATTATCAGATTTCAACTTCCCTCCTGCCTCATATTGGGAAACACGAGGCTCTATTTGTAACAGATTTTGGCCCATGCCATTTAAAAAAAAAATTACTTTCATGATGAATGATGCAAAACTCATTGCACCTTTGTGGGAAGTGAATTCAATATCATTATCTTGTAATAAAATYACTTATCTTAAAACAGTGTTGTGAAAATACCAACCTATTAAACCCGTGCCACTGTTTGTGGGAAAATGATCTAGAATGAGCAATAAATAAGCAAACCCCAAAAAGATGTGAGCAGAGCGTGGCTGGTACAAGCTGTGAGCTGGCTGGTATTTTTAGAGTTACTGAAAACAATCCCCAGGGAAAGGCAAAGCTGGTTACAGAGGACAAAGGTGAGGCTTTAGTCACTGGTATTTGATTTTTGGTCCACTATCACTGCGAGCAGCCAGGGGAAAGATTTACGGAGGTATTTAGGTACCTAAACATGCCTAGCAGCATTTATAGCAGCATCTAAGTAGGTTAGGTGCCTAATTCCCATTAACTCCACGAACATGGTTAAGCTGCTAAACATCTTTGCAAAGCTGGTCCCAGTGCCTGGGCTGCCAGGTGCCACTTTGAACTGGAGTGACTGGGCTGCTCCCTGGGGTGGGGAGAGTGGAGAACACACAGGGACCTGGGGCACAGAACCCAGCAAAGCCTCCTCAGCTGGCTCCCATTTTTGCTACCAACATGAGAGCCACAAAAAAAAACCACTCAGAGCAGCATCTGCAAAAAGGCCACGCTGAGTTCTGGTTTGGGGTGAACATTAATGCTCCTTCAGCTGAGGGTTCAGGATCCCAGCAGCTSCCAGAAAATGAAACATTTCACAGGCCAAGCCAGAGCAGCATTTCCTGAGCTCCTGGAGAGCCTCTCCCAGCCAGTCCTGSACAGCCCAGCCTGTTCCACAGCCACAAATATTTTTCTTGAAGGATTTTCCTTTCCTTACCTCAGTGACACCAGGCACCTCCTGAGTGTCAGAAACRGGCTTAAATAAATGAACCAAACCATTCCAAAAGCAGCCTGTTATGAGAAGCACTTCAACAGATGGAGAATGTTATGTGGGACAGATTCACTCCTATATAAAGGTGTAGTTTGATTAATTTAAAAGCTATAACGTGCACTTTAATATATTTTCCACTCATTTTTTTTTATTCAGGAATAAAAATGAAAATTTGCTGTTTACAGTGTTGCACATGTTGACAACTGCTCTTTACAAATCCTGTTCAAAGTTAYCCTAGAACCATTTTCTCAATATACACACTTCAGCTTAATCAAAATAATTTTCACAAAACTATTTCACATAAAAGAAGAGACAAGGGGAGATCAAGAGAAATAACCTAGGAAACAAGTATGCCAGCGTACAAAAATAGATTGGAACATTTGGAGATTGTAGGTATGAAAATGTATTCTCAACTGCAGAGAAAGTGAACTGGTGGATTATCTGAGGAGGGAAATGCTCACCGGAGCAGCTGAAGAGATGCAGAAATCTATTTTGAGCATCTTCGGGCTGGATATCACTGAGGGATGAACACAAAGTGCTGCCCTAAAGCATCCAAATGACTGCTACAGCTACAGCAAAGAGCACAAGGAATTCAGAACATCCCATATCCTCTGTGGGTCACAAGTCTGTGCCATTCTGAGAGAAGGGATTTAAATAAAAATAAAAATGCTTCTGGAGTGTCCAAGCCTGAAACTGAAGCACCGGCTCTGTCCCTTCAGCCTGGGCTCTCCAGGAGCACAAAGGAGGCTGCAGAAGCCACTGGAGCAAATCTGGCTAAAAAATTTCTGTTATTGCTAGGAGAAGGTTTCTTAGAAATGGAACTTGCTGTGGGTCTGCTGAGCAAGCTTTTCTCCCTAATCCACACCACCTGTGTAGATTCACAGATAATTTGGGTCTGACCTAGTTAAAAGYACAAAACGAATTTTTCCTTTTTGCTTATTCAATATATCCTGACATCTACTTCCTGCAAATCCTGCAAAGGCCTCTTTTGTGAGCTGCAGGAAGAACATTTGGTGATGTGCTCCCTCCAGCTCTCAGGCCAAGCGCAGGAGCTTGCTGGGCTGCTGTTCAGAGACCTGACTTGGRTTTTGAAAAAAGGTGAAATATTTTGGTCCAAAAGGATCAACAGTTCCAGTGAGCCTGACCTGGCACAGCTCTGCAGTGCTGAGGACACAGAGCACAGTCGAGTCTGGTTTTGATATTCATTCCTCACAGGACGAGGATTCTTAACTCCAAAGCCACACCTGCTGGAGAAAAACCTCAAAAAATGGGGTTGCAGCCTGTGCCTTCCTCACCCTGCCACAATCCCCCTCTCCCTCCTGGCCTGAAGCACAGAGATTGAGGTTTCCTTTGGATTTCCTGCTCCTGCAGGCTCAGGGCTGGCTCAGTCATCAGCAACACCCACCACTGTACACACAACACACACACAAAGAAATGCAGCACAGAACCACACATTTGACAAAGATCAGACATTGTGCTGCRAATAATGAGATTTAAAATATCCTGTGCTATTGAGGTACACAGAAACCTGTTCATTAACTCGCACCAGCACCCCCCATCCTTTTCTTTATGCTCTTTAAAGCATCACCAGCGTGTACAAAATCATTTTGTTCTACTTAAAAGACCAGTTCTGAGGAGGTGACTGATTTCTGCTGATCCTGGAGGTGGTTTCACAGGTTTCATTGTACTTGAAACTTCACAGCTTCCACTGAAGTATTTGATGTGTGTCTGTATCGGTTTAGCAGAGTACAAAAGTAGAATAATTTTCATTCTTGCCTCATATTGTTGTCAGAGTATGGTGTCCTCTACCAAAACTTTCTTTTTGCTTGACAACTTTTTACTTATCAAAGACACATTTTTCTAAAGCTCAACAACCAGTCTTAGTGTTTGTTTTAAAAGTCATCAGGGCTCCAATATTTGTAACAAACCACTAAATTTCTACTAGCAAAACTTATTTGCAGATTTCTCCCATAAAAATAAGGATTTTCAGTTAAGTCACCTGCATTATAGTCAGGAGCATTGGTTYAAAAACTGCACCTCATTTTGCATCTCTCAGTCAACCATCAGCTGGAATCCACCACCGATGGTCCCATCTTACATCTCATGTTGCTCAAAACTGTGAAAAATTCACTTCAGGCCAGGGAAATGATGGCTCCAAGGGGAAATCATGGAAAGATTGGGCCRGGCCCAAGGTGAGACTGATCCCTGCACACCAAAATGGGGCAGATCAAGGACTCCTGTGGCACCTGCATCCTTTGCAGCACCCATCAACAAACCCACCTGGAAACCAGCACAGCTTCCTCCAGCTCAACGGGGACAAACGTCACCAGGAACTACTGAATCTCACTAGAAARGAGGTGGATTAAAACCAACTTCTCACTAAGGGACTAAAAGCAGACAAACTACTGTGTGTCCCCAGCCAGGCTCAGCTCTTGGGCCCATCTCTGATGCCATCCTCCTCCTCCTCGTCGGGGCACAGCAGGCTCAGCGCGCTCGTCACAGGGTGGATCCAGGATGTTGTCTGGGTCACGTGGCTAAAAACAAACAAGAAATGCTGTCAGCAACCCAAAAGAGGCTCAGCCATCCCAAAAYCAGGAATTCCAGGTGGAGTCTGGAGTTGTAATGGTCATTACGATGCTTTCAAACACAGAATTGTCTTTTTCTTGCTAACTGTGAGATTTTTAGAAATGACAAGTGGAGCTTTCTGAGGGCCAGAACCTGGACTGGAGGTTCCATTTCCCAATGGAATAAAGAGAATGCTTTTGTATGAGACTCCTGATACACTGGTGGCATTTCTTGTTAATTACTGGAGCTGCAGACAATTAACAATGTAGGGTATTAACATGGTCTCACAGCAGTTACAGCCTGAGCGAGGCAGGGTGGTCAAGAGGAAGCTGAGGAARTGTGGAATCACATCACAGAAATACACTCAGCTCTTTGCAAAATAAACTCTGRARGAGTCCCAGRCCAGGCTGGGCAGGGTTTGGAGCAACCTGGTCCAGTGGAAAGTGTCCCTGCTCATGGCAGGGGAGGGAATGAGGGTTTATTTAAGGTTGTTTCCACCCAAATCCTTTTAGGATCACTATTCTAGCATCCTTCAGTAATTCCTCTTCTTGCAGAAAGAATAAATTAAAAAATGGTATTTTTTACACGTCTTYCAGCCCAAATTCTGGCTGTGTTCCCACAGCCTTTACACACACAATAAAAGGGCATCAGCGCTGATTTTTAAGGTTTAAATCCCACATCTAACATGCAGGCTAAGAGTTTCTGGAAAGCTTCTGTGTGAACAGAAAGAGCCTGAGCAGGGCTCAGCGAGGACAGAGCCAGGGTTTGGTGTCTGTGCTGAGAACACTGCACACCTTGTGAGTGGTGTGTGCATGTGAGCCATACTGTGTGTGGGCAACGCGCTGCCTCTTCTCCCTTCTGGAATAATGTGTTCTGGGGAAAGGAAATAGCTTCTTTTCTCTTGGAAGAAAAAAAAATTAAAAAAAAAATCTTGCTAATAAATTCRCAGCTTTTATAGTCAAGTCAGCGCAAAGATTAATTTTGTAATGTAAGTTCATGACAAGAACAAGCTGAGAAATATTGGAGGTGTGATAAACAGCGGGAAGGACAAGCAGCTCTTCTCACACGTTCTAACAGTGTCCCTAAAGCCCAGGTCTGGACTCACTTTCCAGGTGCTCTGGTTTTATTAAATTTGAAGTGCCATCAAGGAACTGCTGGAGATTCACCTTTCCAAGTGAGAACAGGTTTTGTCTTTCTGTCTGCAAGAAAGCTYTCCTGAATAACAGATCATGGAAATGGATATATTGAATTAGGAATTGGAGTCAGTGTTCCTCTGCACTGAGGGATGGGTTTGGGATCACTATTCCTATCAATAGGATCATCCTGTTCTCACTTTCCAGATCAGAGCCCTGAGCTCAGAGTCAGCTGGGTGTGATGGGGATGACACTGCTCACCACGGGGTAAATGGGATTTTAATGGAAATCCCAGAACAGAGCAGCTCTGAGCAGGTAACCAGGGAATTCAGAAACTCCTTCAATTGAAACAAAGCCTGAGCAAGAACCACACAAGGAGAATAAAGTGTTGAACATAAAGGCCATASCCTGAGCTCTCATCCATTAAAAAAAAATGAAAAAAAAAAAAAAATCAATCCCCAAAGCTCCAGTTATGCGTAAAACCAATTCAAAAGTGCTCTTGATGAGAGCAGCACTGGATGGACTCAGTTCCATCTTTTGTTACAAAAATGTGCCTTACTGGGGTTKTAGGATGAGTTTCACAGGAGTTAAAACAAAAGGATAAATGAAAAACATGTTCCTACAGAAAACACTGCAGCAGGCACTGGCCACTCTAAGGACAGCAATTGTTTCATTCTAAGAAAGCAAATGTACCATTTTTACCAGGAATAAAAGCAATTTGCCATACATTTCCAATGTTTACCTTTAGAAAGTCAGGTGACAGCCGACATGGAGAACATGAAAAGAGTTGTTTTACAATGTTTAAYGAGAGACTTGTGAATAAAGTCTGTCTAAACAAGGACATTGTTCCCATTATTCCACAACACGGGGAAATGTATGCATTCATATTTATATTATGAATATATTTACATTTGTAAACTTACTCAGAAAAATATCTTTGCTGCATATTTCTGCAATGTTTTCTATAATGTCAGGAAATGCCTCGTTTCCCAAATAAAATATTCAGTCAATAAGGCTCAGCACTGGAGATGTGCTCTAAAYTGAAGTGATTTGTTGGTATAACAGCACACAACTCCTTCCAATACCTGCAGAATTACGGGGGCTGAATGAACTGGATTCCATCCATTCCACCTCTGCCAGTGCAAGATTTATTGCCTGCAGCACTATTTTAAGTGTTTACATTGCCCACTTTTATCAAACAATTTCTGAGCAATCCATTGCTGAATTTAAATAAGAACAAAACCATTTTTAAATTTGTTTCTTTTCCCATTTGACTTCCTCATGCAGCATGCCTTGACCTGCTGTACCTGAATCCTCAGTTCCATTTTCTCCTGAGTGTGCAGTATCAACCCTGTGAAATGGGAGAAACTGCACAGGAGGAGAGTTACATGGAAAGGCATCCACAGGTCTTTGATGTATCCAACTAAAAAATTCTTTGTAAAGTGTTTTTTCTTCAGGAGATTTTCTTCCTACATGCCCCAGGGCCAGGAGGCAAAAGACAGCACRCCCAACATCCCCCCACTGCTGGAAGAACTTCCTTTTGCTCTCACACAAATTAAATGTAAAAAAAAATCTCCAGCTTTTTAACAGTGCAGAATTGTGGCACTGAAATCTGGGTTCCAGATCTCTGTGTTCAACAGCACAAGGTTGTTTYRTCASTGATAATGGTGYCTAAGGATTTTTAGTTTCTATATTTTCGTGTATTTGTATTCTTGTACTTCTCTAGTACAGCACTAAAGCTGCTGTTCTCCCATCTTTAGACAAAACAATTCCTCTCTGAGCTGAATCCAAGGACACCTCGCTGCCTCAGAGCCCCAAAATATGGAAACAACAGAGAATTGGGGGGAGCAGCTTGGAGTGGTTGACATCATCACCTGAAGGAGTCATTGGGGAATTGGGGCCCAATATGGTAATAAAACAGAACTTATAAAAGGGGAAGATCTCTGACTCGGGGTCCATTTTGGGTGTAGCTTCAGAAGGAGGTTTTTGTCTGTCCTGAATGCACCCTTAGGCCTGGATTAAAGTTGTTTGTTTTCATTCTCTTAATTTGTCTGGCCTCTGTTTCAGATGAGCCTTGTTTTAGGCATCAATAAGAAAGATTTTTCACCCATTTTCAAAACCCAAGGGCCAAACTTTGCTTTGATGTCAGCCTGCTGCTGCAAACACTTCTGGTTTGAACCCAGCTCCTCTCAGCTTGCTCTAGACTTTATCCCACGGGCAATTCTCCTAAGACAGKTTGGTTTAAACCCAGTGCCAAAATCCTTCCTAGGAAAAGAGCTCTTATAAATAAACATTAAGTCCAGATACCACGTCTCACATTGTAGACAGACACTCACAATGCACGCAGATTATTTAGGTAGAGAATAAATGTATAAACCCCGYTGCTATTTATTTTTAGCTCTCCAAAAGTGCTGTGACTAAAGAGCTTTGACATAATCAGTCCGAGGAGATAATCCCAGATTTACTGGTTTGCAGAACATTCTTGTATTAGAAATACATCCTCTCTGATTTGGGTGTTAGGGCCAGCAATAAAAAGTGAGAGGGAGCCCAAATCTACCTCTGGGTTTTGCTTTATTGATGCAACTGGTTTGAATATTAAAGGGATGCCTGGAAAGCCAGCATGACAAAGTTTAAATGTGCAACGTTTTCCATTTGCAAGTGTTCCCGTTCAAAAGTCTAATTGAACATTTTCAGAGCAATTAGCAACACTTAAAAGATTTTTAGGTTTTCAAACAAATCACTGTTATCGGAGGGCAGCCAAATTTATTGTTAGGAAACAGAAACATTTGATCTGGAAATATGTCAGTAGATTAGTCTGTCTTTTTAACATTAGCAAACTGCAGGACAAATTTCAGAGCTTGGGAAAACAAAACATGAGAACAGAGGGATGTTTTGGCAAAGAATTAGCAGTGGATTATTTCAAATGCCATTATAATTACTCTCCTTATGGCTCTTCCTCCTTCACAAGAAAATTATTTCTTTTAAAGCGACAACCTCAGACAATCTTGTAAGGAAATAATAACGCAAAGAAAAATTCAGAGAAAGAYTAATGGAAAATATATCTGCACCTTTTCTTTTGGATTTTAAGCATTATCAAGAMATGTTTTTCACCTTAAATTGTGCTCCCCAGCCAGGGCCARACTCTGGAGCCTGAAAGGGAATTGKGMAGYCTTGCAGACAGCACAAGSTCCCAGTGCAGGATGCTGAGCTACAAACCCATCATGCAGCATTTTTGGAMGTTGGGATTTATCCCCTTTTGACATGGRATGACATTCAGAACACATGGATCARTGTTCCAGCTGCACCAGGGCTCCTGTGCTTTAACAGGAGCGATCTTGTGCAAAACCCCTTTGTTTGAGATCAGCTCAGGAGAGGAAATGTGGCCTTAAGCAATCAAACTCTCCTAATAATAGGGACCAAAAAGGATTTGGTTGTACTGGAACTTAAAAACAAATTCTGGCCTCAGATGAGCCCTGTTCCTCTCTACCCAACYAAGTATGGAAGATGAAACTCTGCTTGTGTAAAACAGCAAAACCCCGAGTTTTCCTCCTTAATGAGCATGCTCCACAAACTAAATCCATGTAATCCATGGTAGTAATTTTGCTAAACTTTTAATCTGCCCTTACTTTTTGATTTCCCAATCTTCACCAGCCCTTTAACACACACCAGTGCCCAGCTGAAGAGTGTTGATGCTTGCTGGAGCTGCTCCTGGGCTTTACAAAACCTCTGCAAAGCCCCCAGTGCTGCTGAGAACCCAAACCAGAGGCACTGCACCCTCTGAGAGCTTCACCCTTCACAGCTTTCACTGCTGGTAGTGAAATGAGCACTAAAAATGC